ATATATATATATATATATATATATAATTAAATATAATTATGTATAATTATATATATACATTCATATATAATTTTACATAATTACGCATAAATTTATATGTAATTATACATATTGTTATACATAATTGTGTATAATTATATATAATTTTATATGATTATATATAATTATACATAATTATGTATGGACAAATTTCATACAAAATTTTGCATGAAAAATTTTTCATCGGGATAGCAATTGCAATAACAGACAAATCGTTTTGGGTCACAACGGGAGAATGGATAGAGTCACGGACAGAAATTTTACAAAAAATATTAGCTACTCTATCACGCTGCACATACCGGTACGAAACAGAGATGATAATGTGCGCAAAGTCGTGTTATATGTGTTTCCGACAGGCAAACATAAGGCTCTGCAACACTTGCTATTCAGCCAATTTTTGTGATGATTACCAAATATTATTTAGTTTATTTCATAAAAAATACTGCGATAAGTTGTTGCTATTACTAAACATAAATATCGCCTGTATTAACAGCACAAGGAGGAGGAGGGCATACTAAGTGGCGGCGGGACGCCGTGCGTTCGACATTTGCGTATCTTTTTCGTTCCAGAGAGAGAAAAATATCGAGAGCGCGGTTCTGCTAGGCCGGGACTCGAACCCGGGTCTTTCGCTTGCTGGGCGACTGCTCTAAACCACTGAGCTACCTAACGCTCCGCGTTCACGACACTCTTCTCTCCCTAGATAACGCTCAGAAATGCCGTTCGGAAACGACATCTCTGGCACGATCCCGAGCTCGCGGCAACTACAGAGAGAAACAATGTTACTGTACCAAATGGTACAACTGCCAGTCTCTCAAAATCAAAGATTGCTATCCTTTAAGACCTGCTGTCCATGTATGCCCGTCTCCACCGTTACCCCTCCTTATCCGGTGCAAATAATACAAATAAACCCCGGGGTCGACACCAATTTTTTGGCAGCCCTCGGGTGCTTGGACGCAATGCGCCATGGGGGATTCACCATAGAAGGAGGACATTATAGGAATATATTAACAGCGAAATGGAAAATTTCGCTGTTAATATAGGAATTATATGTAATTTTCTTGTAAATCTTTTCCTCATCATCCGTGTTCTGCAAATGAAATCTAATAGGAAAAATTGTAAAACATTTTACATTAAATATATTTTTTTACTGTATTTTGTGATCAATATTCGTAATGCATTGTATCTTTTACGACTATTACAATTTAAATTGTCAAATTATATATGTAATTTATACAAACAAATCTGGAATTATTAGCACCTTTCTAGTTTTCATCTGTTTCATTGTAAATTAAATACAAGTTTAATCATACTTGCTAATGAATTGTAGATATTTTAATAGTATACCTTCATTAGTAAATCTATATTATGTTGCTCTTTCCTGTTTTATAAAAGTATAGCATATGTACATTTTGTTCTTAAATATGTTTTGCGCACTTTTCCGATGCATTTCTACATATAGCCAATGATGTAATAAATAATAGAACTTAGTTTTATGTAATCACTTGATAAGAATATCCTGCATTGTTATCGACTATGTTCTAAAATGTATCGAAGAAAAACAGTTCATACTGTGTTGAAACAAAGTGTATGTATAATTATATGATATCATCGGTTATATATCGTTTAATTTATGCGATTTTATACATAATTTTACATGAGGTTGCGCTTAATGCTACTCATGTATAATTATATATAATTCTTCATTATATATATAAATATATTCATTATATATGTAAATATATATAATTCATATATAATTATATACAACTATACAGCATTTTATATTCTTTAATTGAATTTGGTTTGTGTGTCTTATTAAAATAATATGTTTACAAATAAATTATCATTTCCATAAATAAAAACTCTGTTATTTCGTTAAGAGAATTTGTTTGATAATATAGCGTTATTATTTAAATCAAAATTTCCAAACTGTTTTTTGCAATTTTTGATTATTGAGTAAATTGTTTTAAACAATTTTCTATTTAAATTAATTCTAATAATTTTTTGTTGAAAATCTGAAAGCAGTGGTATAATCACTAGCACACTATTTATTATATCAATATTTGTCGCATAGCTCTTAATTTGTTGTTACGTCACTTGAATGTTAGACAATAAATACATTATAATGTTTTGTGAGTACTATAAAGATACATTATATAAGTTTTAAGAACATCGTTAGAGTCATTAGTATTACCGCGTGTCGTTCGATCGTCGATGTTAAGGAAAGCTGATTGCTTTAGATCAAAGAAACATTTTTTTAACGGATTAGTTCACTTAAAGTGACCCTTATAGTGCATTACCGAAATACTTAAAGTTTTGTTCGAAACAAATTTATTAAAGTATTTTCCTTGGTTAACTTTGTAGTATATTTTCAGTCTTTCAAAGTAGATTTTCATAAGGAATGTATCATATTGTTCCTCAACATAATCCCCAAATAAATATTTGTAGTTTGGCGTATCGGTAGCCAGAATTTATTTTGTCAACAACATTTTCGATACAAACATATTTGTGTCCGTTAATAGTGTCCCGTGTACTATTATTGGTTAAATATCTATATATAATCCGTATATATAATCTGTATAAATATTTCTGTTACAGTTCTTGCATTGTCGAGTTTCGTGCATTATTTTTAAGTAAATATTACAAACAAAACACTCATAAACGATAATTACTAAGACGTATAATTACGATGTATTTATCATTAGACATAGTAAACATTTTTGATGTATCACATACTGAAGACAAATATAATCAGTTTTTCAATCCAAACGTTTGTCATGTTTGCAAACGGCCCAGCAGTAACTTAATATCATGTAATCAGTGCTATATGATTTCTTACTGCTCTGAGGAGCACCAGGAGATCCATAAACATTCACACTTGGAGATATGCACAGCTATAGCAACTTTAATAACAGACGAATCGTTTTGGATTGCATGTAGTAACTCGGAAGAATGGATAAAATCACGGAAAACAATTTTACTAAAAGTACTGTATATCATATCACGCAATACATACCCGTATGAAACAGAGATGTTCATATGCGCGAAATCGTGTTTTATGTGTTACCAGCAAGTAAATATCAAGCCCTGCAACATTTGCTATTCAGCAAATTTTTGTGATGATCATCAAGAACTTTTTAACCTAAAACATAAGGATTATTGCAATGAGCTGTTGCTGTTTTTGGTGATGAAAATCGCTGATATTAACGGCATAATGGAACGTATTATGTGTCCAACAATCAAATTCATCAAATTTCCTGGTGCAAAACCTTATGATGACATTGTTACGTTTATTTATAACTATATGCCCACAAGAAATTCATTTGAAATTGCAGTAAAATCAAAATTTCCTAATTCAACTTGCCACTGGAGACTCAATCATTTTATATATTCTGATTATGTGTCTGGTCCGCTGACATTATACTACGCGTTGCAGGAATCAAATTTATTATCTCTTCCAAGCATTTCAGATAAATATATCGTTCATTTTATAGATGCAGGTAGAATAGATATAATGTATTTGCGAAGTTGGCATATTTTCTTACATTTCTTTAAAAACATAAAGGAACTATATATTGTATTTATAAAATCGCCAAAATTTGAATCCGAAGATCGAGTGCATACGTGTTCTACGTGCTTTTATAAAAAACAAAAGCTTTATGTTAAATATGTGTCAGAACCGTACCACGATTATGTACGCTTAGAGTCATTTGAGCAACCAAATGTGATTGTACTACTTGAAACAGAAAGTATTTTGGTGGGAACATGGTTTAAATCTATAACAACAATAATAGCGCAAGAGTGTCCGTTACTTTTAACCACCGATTCGGAATGTACAGCGCAAGAGAATGTAGATAAGATACAAGAAGAAACAGGTGCAACCAGAAATCGATTATACAGAAAAAACAAATTCCGCGGTTATGTACCATATAGAAATTATGAGACCGGTGGATTTTATTACCGAAATGAGCATTTTATTATGTATTCATGACTTTAAATTACCTGACCGACTCAGTCAAAGGTTGAGAGTGATATGTTGTTTGATAGTAATTGTATTTTAATACAGTTGACGATACTCATTTTTTAATGAAATTTGAGAATAAATAATAAATTTCTGTTAATAACAAATTTCTGTAAATAATAAATAATTTTTTTTAATAATTACTGAGATATATATTCAGACATAAATTAATAATATTTTGTTTCTTATCTTTTCAGAATATTTATATAACATTTTGTATATGAGGTAATAGAATAATTGCCGCATACACACACACACTGATTTAAAATTTTACAATTTGTTACATACTGTTCCGTAGTTATAGGTATTATATGCAGCTACGATCATTTTGTACTAAGTTATGTGTAATTATGAAATATAAATGTATAGAAATAAACTTTAATTTACAAAAATAAATGTTATATCCCACAAATATATTCTCAAGTATTTTTTCTCAGTGAATTTGCCAGCTTGTTAGAGCTAATTGGTATTACTAATTCTATACGATCGCTAAAGTTAAATAATCCAGTCTGTAGTCAGTAAAAAGGATGGGTCCTATGACCGAATGATGGATGATGGAGTATTTGTATAAAATAGCGAGGGAATAAGGTGGACGCATTTAAAGATATAATAACAAAGACTGTTCGGCAATATTATGAGAAAAGTAATGTCACGTTTCGTAAGATTATTTGAACAGAATTCTCGAATAGCAAAAGCTCTTTTTAGCAAAATTCAAAAATTTATTAAAATAATTTTCTTCTTGTGTCAAATAACAAATTTATTTATAGTGTGTGTATGTGTGCGTTTTTATGTGTATGTATGTGTGTGTTAAGCAATCGTATCTGTTTAATTAAATATATGTTTATTTGAATTATTTTAATAGGTAAATTTCTTTAAATTTAATAAATGTTATTAAATCCAAAATAGTCTTTGCAAGATGCAAAAAAATTTGGTGAATGCGTCGTCATACGTTCAAACATTATACAGGGTGTTTCAGATTCATCTCCGCAACATTCGTAGGAACATATAACAGATTGAAGTGACTATAAAACTCCGATATCATTTTACAATGTTCGCAATAAATTTCGAGTTAATTAAAGAAAATTGGTGAATAATCTCGTGCAATATGGTAAATTAACTATAGTGATGCTGTTTACCATTATATACTTTATATGATTTGATTAAACAAACAAAAATTCTTCTATCATTCTGTAAATGACACATTTTTAGATATTAATTGAAGAAGATTTATATATTATCACGCATAATCAAATAACGATTTCTTAAATTTATAATTAAAGATTTACGTGGCTATTTGCAAAATGATGACTTTTTGTATTGTTTTACTCAGTGTATAAGCATACGACAGCTCACATTGCTACTACAACTCGTCTGGCATATCGCGCGTAATCATTCACTGATCTTCATTAATTAATATCTCAAGATTTATTGTGAACGTCGCAAAATAATGTAGAACTTTTATGTTCATATCAATCCATTCTACTTTCTCATAAATGTTGCGAAGACGAAATTGGGACACCCTCTATACCTTCTCGTGATCTTTCGTAATTCTCTCGTTATCTAAAATAAAAATTATTTACTTAACATCCACAATTAGACTCTTATTAGTCGTATTTTTTCTTACTTCATTGTATCTCTGTAAAAGCTCGTTCAAATAATATAATAATGAATTTATTATATTACTATTATATTACTATTATATTACTTGCACTTTTGTTATATCACCTCTATAGTGTAGATGTTTTAATCAATAAAGGACAACGAAGTTAGTGAAGTCTCCGGAGGGGAACACAGACGAGTCGAATCGAAAACTAGACTTTAACAATCGATCCTCTGATTTCCTCGAGTATAAGGACAAACGAAGTAATTTGGTTCTTAGGTATTTGCATATATCTTTCAAGCGGGAACTTCTCAAGATTACGTAGCTCCTTCTGCTAAAATGCACCGCGTTGCTTTATTTTTCGACCCAGTTTACTTTAGCAGTCTTCATAGCGAAGGGGAGCGCGTCTGCATGAGGGAATACAGGATTTCTGAAATCTGCTCCGGCATTCGAGAAAAGGCACGCTTCTTTCGCTCTTTCCCTTCATCTCTCTCCTTTCTCCTCCAGGTTTTTTTTTCTTTTTCTCTTCCATATACTTGTGTAACGAAGGATTCATGCTCGAGTTAGTGCCGGTTGCGCGATTAATTAACGTATGTTCTCAGTACTCTCGACGCGAGATTGTCCGAACTTTCGAGCCGCGCGACGTCTTCGCGTATTTCGTGTCTTTCGTCCGTGATTTCCGTACACCCAAAAAAAAATAATTTTAATAGAAGTGAAGTTTTCTAATATATATATATATATATATATATATATATATATATATATATATATATATATATATACTCTTATACAGGGTGAGCCATTTTAATCGACGGATCCAAATTGCTCCTAAAATACACCAACTACAAAAAAATGGTTAAGACAAGAATTGTAGAGGACAACGGGGGTTATTTTACCGTGCTAATAATTTTGACCTTTAGATCGATTTTCATGGTCATTCGAAGATCAAAATCATTTTTTTTAATTAGAACCCCTATTTTTGACACCGAATTCGAAAAGAGCAGAAAATTTTACGTTAAAAATGATATTTAGATTTTTTTCTGAGTCCAAGAAGGTCAAATAAAAAATGATTAAAAACAACTTAGAAGCTGTTAATGTTAATTTTAAAGATTTTTATGCATGATAAGTGTTTCGCGGTACTAATAAATACTAATAGAAGAAAAGTTGCAAAACGTTGTCATTCCATTTCCGAAATTGATGCGCAATAATCTCACTTTGATATGATTATTAATAAGACGTAATAAATAAAATTTTAAAAGTAAAAACAAACACTTGTGCCTTGAGGCAACTTTGAACAGTTACTCCGTGGGTAATTATGATAAATTGCAGTTATGGTGAGAGGCAAGGGGACTCGCGATAATCAAGCACCCCAGATGTGAGAGGCAAGAGGACTCACGATAATCAAGCACCCCAAAGGAAACAGAACTTACTACGTCCACGTCGTTGTTCCCGGGTAACGCTAAAAATATTGAATTAACATCTTCCAAGTTCTTGATTTTTGAGCTATTTAAGACTTCATGTTTGTGACATCTATATACCCAGTGAAAAATGACTCGTTGATTAACGTCAAAATGATATCAAACTGACGTCGGTTTGACGATTTCAACGTCGATTTGATTGAAACGTCGACAGTGAATTGACGGTGGAAGCTCTAAGCGTGACGCTTAGTTTCAACCAATCGTATACGACAGTATACGCAGCAAAACAACAGTTCTTCGCGTCTCTCTTACTGCACGTAAGACGGCATTGTGCTTCAAATTAACATATTTTTCTTGATATAGAGAAACACAATTAGAATAATATCTCATAAATGCACGACGAGTGGTTCCTTTAATGAAAGATGAATATGGTTTCTGTAAGATATTTCTTTTAGGACATGGGGTTAAAGGAAAATTCACTTTGTACGTAGAATACTTTTTTTTGGGTGTATATTCTCGATATGTCCGATAATTGATTCCGAATAACCCGAATTTCGGGTCAACGCGACGTCGCGAGAATACAGAGCGGCTTCACGCCGAATTCTATGTATAATATATATATATATATATACACACATATATATACATGTGTAATATATACGTACACGTGTCATAATGTGCCTGAGAAGCGCGGGTATTGTACATTATTCAAATATCTGCTTTACATACGATAATGGAATCGGTTCCAGGAAAATCTTGCCTTGGGAGACGCGCGGAGCATTTCGTAGTAATTTTTCGGTCGCGTCCTCGTTATTACGGAAACATTGCTCAAAGGAGGCTACATTGAAAATACATAAAAAAGGATCTTTTATTTTTCTCTCGCATAAAGGGATCTTCCGCGCGGCAAAGGGCCCTTTCTTATTATTCCGCAATCCCCAGCTAGAGCGTAGGAAGCACGCCGGTCGGCCTCTCGTTTATATGTTTATACGAATGTTCCCCCTTTTTGCTTTCTCTCTTCTTTCTGCTTTCTCCTTCCTGTTTTGTTTTTTAGATAACAATACGAGATAGCGCGAGAGCGTGTGTATAATGCATGAATCGCGGCCACCGACTTCGCGGTGCGACGCGGTCAAATTCCTCCGCGGTGATCCACATACGTAGATATTCTTAGTATGCTCCATTTAATGCGAGGACCACAACGCTACAGAATAAAATATGTGATACCCGTAAGAGTATGCGCAAGATTGAAGAGCGCGAGACCGGAATATCAAAATTTTGCCGGTTCGTCGAGGAAGAAAAATGCCTGGTATCGCGGCGTCCGTGCATGACTCTCTTATATACAGTTGTACATCAGCTTCGCTTCTAGGATACAGTCAACTCTCTCTTTTTCCCTCTCTCTCTCTCTCTCTTTCCCTCTTTCTTTCTTTCGTCTCTACATATAGTAGTCGCAAGCTGTCGCGTACATGGCCGCGTAATATCCGCGTCGAGACGACAAAGACATTTCGCGGCGAGTTTATGGCGTCTTTAGCTTGAGATCAGCATTGCGCAAAGTGCATTTTTAACGCATTCCATTGGAAAACAAAAGTGCCCTGATATCGCGGATTGGTTTTATCTTTCACTTGGTGTGTCAGGTCGCGGCTCTCGGGAGTGATTTCCGAAGCTATCGGTGAGCATCGACGTGAATATTTACGTGGTGAATTTTGAGTTTCGACGGCTTCCTTAATAACAGTCGAGTATCGCGCGAATATTTCGATTAATTTCGCGAAAGCTCGACTGCGTGCAGACCGCACGTACGGCGTTACGGTAAATAACTGCCATTTTTAACGTATATACACTCGTTACCTCGTTTAATCTGCCTTCTATTGACACCACTCGCTCGTGCGACTCGCTAAATACAGTTGATTGCGTTTTACATGTATTTCAATGAGATACGTCAATATCAGAGAATTGGTCAGCAGCAATCGTCGCGACACACAACGTGTTAACTGAAATGGCTGGATGCCAATACCTATCCGAGAGTGAAGCGATTAATAAAAAAATAAATAAATAACGAGCAAAGCCGCTGAAATGAAACGAGGCGAGAAAATCTTATTAGGGCTCATCGAAATTTAAGTGAGCTTCACCATCGGTGAAGGGGGATTTTTAATTCGGCTTTCACAATTATGAGAGCGCCTCGTGTGTCTCAATTGTCAAAAGGCCGTGAGTGAAGTTACATTTTTACGTTTTCTGGCTAAGAATTTTGGCGGACTCGGATATTTTGACAAGCTAACATCAAAATAATTACTCTTTTCCCAATTCTAAAATTTCTAAATTTCAGGAAAAATAGTATTTTAACATTAGATTTAGTTTCCGGATTTCCGCGTGAATTCTTCTTTGTCTGATTACCAT